TAATGCTTCTAATCCAAAGAACAATTCTTCAGTACTTATTGGGTGTTTAATAGTAATTTGCCAACCATCTGCCTTAGGTATTTCTGGGTGCCTCTTCCAAATGAAAAGGCCATATGAACCATTTGGTATTTCTTTCAACATGGAAAGCATCTGTCAAATGAAAGCCACTAATAAATTGTTTCTGTGATGACTTTTGCTGTATAATAGTGACCTGGAGAGTTCTAAGTTGCCATCATGGCTTGATGCAGTAGACCAGGTGGATAAAATGTGAAATACATATAAGTGCAATTGTAATGTCTGAGGATCCAACTCTGCAGTTATAAGCTTTTTTTCTTGCTTAAAATGCTGTCAGGATGGAAGGTTAACTCACCTTAATTTCACTTCTGTTGTAGTTGCCCCATCTGCCCGTTATTGTATTGATTAGTTTTTTGCAAAGAGAGTTTGCTCCTGTTGGAGAAATAGAGGAGAGTAACATGTGGGAATCCAGACTTTGGTTCAGAATTGGGTTTTTAACTCTGATCCCCTTTCTTTTGCTGGAAATTAATATTCCAAAAAAATGTCATAAATAATTAATAATGTTTTGGCTGAAAAGTGGCATGTATGCATAGCAGAATGAGAGCTGTTGGGAGGTGAATTTCTACTACCTTTTTAATTGGTTTACTGACAATTGTCTTCTGGATTTGTTTTTTTTAGGGAACAGCCAATGTGACTGCTGAAAAAAGTATACAAGGTAAATTTCTCTTCTCTTTTGTTTCAGTCTTCGCCTAGAGTTGCTTCCATATAATAGCCTTCAAGTCCTGCAGAGTCATTATTTTTCTGTAATTAGCAGGAAGTAAAATGAAAGCAGATTCCACACATAGTTTAACATGGTGCTACAGAAAGTTCCTTTCCCATATATGACAGTTCCATGAAGCAAAGGACCAGGTTAGGGAGAGATGGTGATGGAGAAAATCTATCTATGTGGTCACTAGGAGTCAGCACCAGGTTGATGGCACATACTATCAACCTTTCCAGTGCTAAGTGAATGTTTCTACACTGCAGATTCAGTCAGTTTATATCAGTGTTGTCCAACTTGGCCACTTTAAGATGAGTGGACTTCAACTCCCAGAATTCCCCAGCCAGCCATG